TTCTTTAATCATTAGTTTCCTATATCTAGGTCCCAATTCCATCTCTTTTAATCATATTGACATCTGATCGATGTCAACCTTTCCATTTGATGAAGTCTTTTATATAATACACTAGTTTTAAATGTGGTACTTCCAGACTTTGTTTGATCAAATTAACCCTAAAGCTATCATCACTTTTACTCTAGACCTTATGTCATTATAGCTCTATATTAAAATTTAAGTCAAATCACACACACACACACACATTTCAACCATACTTCGACTATTGCAAAAGGCGGTACCTTTATGAAGTTGTGAGGAAATATAAAATACTCTCGTGTTTATACGTAGATCCAAAGATGGTAAAAATTCTATTGAAAAGGAAAGAGAAGGAATATTAAGTTTCCACAATGAGGATAAACTTACAAGCCGAATATGTACTCTGCGTAGTGATTTCTCCTGGGGCAGACGATATTGATATACTGACCATGCAGGAGGTATCAGGTCTTAAGGCTACAGAATTGTCGGCCAGAATCGTGTTATTGACTTCATCTGAAATTCAAATATACATATTTAGACAAATTTGACTTCGTAATGGAATCCATCTTGATTGCATTTTCATCAACATACAAGTAATTGAAGAATAATTCCTATGTATACGATTTAAATAAATATACATGTATATACAAACTTACGTGCAAAACATGTCTTCAGGTACATATCAATGTTGTTATTTGAATAGCTGTTTTTGAAACATGCCTCTGGATCAATGGAAAGAAACATCCAACAATCGTCTCCGGAGTACCCAAGGAAGAACCCCACTCCCCAGCATTCCTCACCTATTACAAAAACAATTAACCGAAAATTAATCTATCATACTCCTTAACAAAGCGATAGAATCTACAGCAGTCAATTACTGTAAATCATTTTGTATTCGCGAGACCTTTATCTTCGAGTGATTAAGCGAGACCGTCTGCTCGTATTAATTTCAGTGATTTTTTTTTATTCAACGATAACAAGAATTCGTGAAAATTTTGTATCGCATATAAATACCAAATAGCAAAAATAACATGTCATGAAAATTTGGTAATACATATAGCAGTAAACGGTAACTGTGATATTTTCCTTTTCGAAATTAATTTCAAGATTTTTTAGTTTTTACTTCAGACATTTTGTTTCGTTACGCATCTGTACGATTGTATTGTAACCCGTGGTACATGTATCTCTTTATTCAAGGGATGTAGGTTAGAGCCAGTTTTGACGTAAAAAATTCTTTTAAATACCCTGGGAAAGATATGTATTATCTAGGGATGGCAATCGATTACAGAATTGCTAATCGGTTAATCGCAAGATGTTCCGACCGATTAGTCGGTTAATCGTATCAAATTACACATTTTTTCTCTAAGTATAAATCTTTTTATATACACAAAAAGACTAAAAAAAGAAGTTATAAACTTTCTGTTTATTTTCTTTATTTGGAAACTATATGTACATATATTTTTCTTCAATTTCAAAAGACAGTGCTTAAGACAGCGGAACATGCTGCTTACGTCATTTCCACCTGTTACAGTCAAAACAATCAATTTGACACGGACGTCCGAGAAAACATTGGATTGAAATTCTGGTTTGAAATTCATTTTCAATCCACCAAATAATTTCAATTCCCAAATACATGTTGTTTGAAATTCATATTTATGTGATTTTTTTTTTTAGCCTATGATTTTAACGAAACTTAAAAGTCATAGAAGAAAGAAATTATTTTTTCAGGGGACGGTCATTTGATTCTAGAAGGACCAAACAGAAAACAAATATTTGTCCCTTTATATTTCTTTAAAATCACTGGACAGAAAATTCTCATTTATATAAAGGATGATTCTCTATAAGGCCATTTTTCGGCCTACGATAAAATCATTTAAAAATGTGATTTTATGTAACTTTAATCATTATATTTCATGATTTTGATGTTTGTTTTTCAACATCGATCACCTAAGTCGCGTGATTTAAAGATCACAAACGGCCGTCAAGTAAAGAAAAATTGAGGGTAGGTCTATTTACATCAAGTTTTCATGCATGTTTCTAGATGTAAATGATCAAAAATTGTTTATTTATGTCGGAAACATATCAGACTTAAGTATTATAAGCAAAGATTGTTTAATTTAAGGCTAAGGATATTTTTTTATGGCAAGAATTTGATGCATTCACATTTTGCATATTTTGAATGTAAATCTTTACAAAATGCACCTCGTACGATGTTGAAAAATGTTTAATAGCATTTAATTAAAAGTATTATTTTATATATGTTTATATTGTACTTGTGTATTGTTTCTATAGATGTGGTACCTATTTTACGCATAAAATGCCCATGCAAGAAATGAGATTTCTAAGTTTCTTTTGAACTATAAAAGTTGTGTATCAAATGTTTAAAGCAATGAATGAATTTTGTTTGTGATTAAATCAAAATTAAGTTGTAATTTATAAAATATAGTCTACATTTGCAAAAAAAAATTAAGAATTCATTAATTTACAGGATGAAAATATTAATGCAAGTACATGTTAATAGTCAGTACATAAAACTCAGAACGGTTGTATTAAAAATATATATATCGACGTAAAATGAAATAACATCGTAAGAGTTGATTTGATTCAATTTAATTACGCATGTAAAACAATATATTTAATTTAAAATGCTATCTTAACTATAACACACAAATGTATGTATAAAAGTCGAGCCCCCCCCCCCCCCCCACGGCACTCCATAAAATGGAGTAGATTTTCAACAGTTCCTTCCACTACGCATATCAGAAGTTTTAGTATATCCATGGACTAACAGAGTTCTACAAGATCCCAGGTACAAAATGGACCGTAAGAGATGACACCCCTTTCGCACTCTTGAAACCTGAGAATTAAATTCTCTTTCCGTGCTGCGTCAAGAACTAAGGTGTTTAACACGGGTAGTGACAGTTCCTTTGCTAAGTCCTCAGCATTGAAAGTAAAAGTCATGGGTCTCTTGGATATTATCTTAAAGAAGGAGGTCCTGTCCCACGGTAGGTGTTCGTCAATACTGAAACCATGCATAAATCAAAATTGTGACACTTCACCTTAAGTGGATGATCTCTTTATCTGGGTGAAAAATTCTAAAATGACGTAAAGCAACATTCAATTATCAATCACGTGACATTTAGGAACCCCTTTCCTCCTTGGCGTTTTATTTTCTAAGACAGAACTACTGTTCTCATAACTTATATTGATGCTACCAAAGAAGTGTGATGAATAGATTGAGTCCTCTCAACACCCAGTTAACAAAATACATGGATCCTATGTCACTCATACGGAAAAGTGTCCTTCTAAAAGGTCGAGGCGAGAATTTCCATCATGAAACCATCCCATCAGTAATTCTCTATCTATAAAAGTTACATGTGTACCCATAGAAAAATTAAGTTTATGACACAAATAGCAAATGCATCTTCCCGCTACAACAAAAATAGCTTTTATCATTTCTAGAACTAATAACAAATATGCAGTACTCCTAAGGAAATACAAATACAAAGAAGTAGCATAGATAAACTAAACTATCCTTATAAAAATATATTAATTATAATAAGTAACTTATATTCATGTCTTATAGTCTATAAAAGAATTTCTTTATTTCTAGCAGATAGTTCAATGAGACTTGTATTCACGTAATTTCATAACAACCAGTCATTTCAGTCCTTTGATTTTAGATTTTTAAGTAAAAAGTTTTCCTTTTTTGAGTAAACATGCATGGCTTATATTAATTCTTAGTAAATCAATAGAAACATGTACTCTAAGTGGAAGTTTATAATAAGAAATAATCTACATAAGCTGATATCCTTCATTGTAAGTAGTTAGCTTTTCCTGCAAATATCGTAAAAATGAAGCGAAAAGTTTTTATTTACATGTCATAACCACCTTTAACCAAGTTGATAATTTGGTAGTCACTTTTTATGTTCATAAGAAGTTTACATGCAAATTTTGGTGTTGGTTAAAGGTGGTTATGACATGTGTAGGAGTTACCTAACACACCAACCCTCTTGAGTTTTCCCATTACCCTAATGCTAATACGGACCGATAGTACCTTACTTTGTGACCCTATATCATAACAAATACTTTTGTATCATTAACCAATCAACATTTATCATTAAATTGGAACATTAGCCTACTGACTCATGCAGTTTTTAAGGGAAAAAAATACTATTTGAAAATTTGAAGTCATTGTAGGCCGCAAAACGGCCTTATAGAGAATGATCCTTTCAAACTATTCCGATGTTGAAATTTTTTGTTTTCTTTGTCAGTCAGTAATACCTTACCTTCTAGCGTACCTGAAGTGGATTAAAAAATGAATTTCTAACCAAAATTTCAATCCAATGTTTTCTCAAACGCCCGTGTCGAATTGATTGTCTATCATCAAATGTTTTGACTGTAATAGATGGAAATGACGTAAGCTCAGGCACAGTATGAGGCTATTCACCAGTTCAGTGATGGAGGTATAATTGCAGACATTACAAATTGCCATCCCTAGATTCACTACATGTACAATGATGTTTAAAGTACGCATGCATGTTTGTCCTTGAAGTAAGTGTTATATACTACAAAGAAATGAGTAATAAATGAAACTGAAATTATTTCAAATTGAAGAAGCTTGAATATGTACATGTATTTGAATAAATCCTCACAACGATATCTACTTTTTTTTAACTTATAAAAAGTGCATAACTGCAAGGCTTTCGTTTGCAAACTCTTGTTCATATGGGTTTGTACTTTCTCGAATAAAGAATGACTAAATAATTTACTTTGCTTCAGTTTTTCTTGCTAGTTATTACGCTTTTTTACTTTTGATTTTTATCTCGAATATCATGTATATGGCGAATTTCTTTCTGCAAAATATTATCCAAAAGCCTTTTTTCCGCCATATTTTATTTAGTTTAAATTTAGGAAATCAAATTGATTCACCTCCGGACTGAATTGGAATATTACGACAGGCGTCTAAACAATCGGAACGACTGTACTCCTCTGATTGTTTCAAAGATACTCCACATCCGGTGTTCGGATAGAATCGGTCAAAATCACAAAGTCCTGTAAAGTAAGACAATTTTATTTGACCATAAAACACAAGTCCTGAAAGCAACATTACGACGGGGCTAGCTTCTATAATATATTACTTGAATGGCTTAAATACATTGAAAGAAATGTATAAATTTATGATATCTAAAAATTATAAATGATATGCCATGAAAGCATGCATTCAACAAATAAAAATAAATAAAAAAAGCTAAACTATCATCTTTTTCCACATTTTGAGGCAAATTTGTCGTCCTTAATTCTCATTGATTATGTACTCATATCTGCGTTCCCTCCAAGTTTCATCGTTTTCAACAGTATTTTTGTGAATTATATACCCCCTTTATATATATATTGCATGGCGTACAAAAAGGTGAGAACAGTTAATCTCAGCCGCGACGTCATACTTTATCGATATAATTTTGACTGTATCATGTTCACACGGGCCATTTGAGATTATTTTGAATTAAAAAAGGAAATTAATGTATATTGGAAACATGAAAACAACAATCATATAATCAAGGGTTTGTTACAAATTTTCTTTCTCCAATGGAGATTATAATCCATAATTGCACAGTAAGAAATAAACGCCTAATCGGCTAAAGCAATCTGAACAAGATTGTCAACTTTCCGAGGGCCTTGATAATGTTGTAAGACATTCCGCTTTTATTTCGATCTCCAATGAAAATGGTTTTATCCAGATATTCATACCTAAATTTACTTCGCATATAAAGCTTAATTTCACATCGCATCTCTCCGTCTTCCATTGTCCTGTTGTCGGATTAATTGAAAAGCATTTATTGTCGTCTGCCACTGAACTCGGTGCCGTGACGTACTTGTGATAGGTTACATTGCTGCAGTCGATCCATTTTACTTTTGATCCGTCTGACGAATCTATTTCATGTAATCCCGTCCATACATTTCCTGAGCTATAGAACGATACAGAAACTAATATTGGTTAAATCGTCTTTTTTTCTTTATGTTTCAAAGAAATATCTGAATAAGGGAGGGAATAGAATAATGAAATATTTTAATTCATTCAAAAAGTTACAACTACATATACACAGAGTACAGTACTTTACCATGATCTTAAATAAAACGCGGCAAATTGAAGAAGTTTGTTGATATTTTACATAAATTTGAAAAACTCTGCTCAATTAGGAGGGAAAAAAAATCATTTCATAAACAAAACCAAAAAAAAAAAAAAAAAAAAAAAAATGCAAGTCTGTAAAAAAATTGTCGATGATGGGGGTATAAATGAATGCATATAAATTAAAAGAATGCCCTAGTATTGACATTGGTATCTTTTTTTCCCCGGAATTTGAATTTCCACATGGTAAACCTCACAAACTTCTTTATTTTCTTCATTTATATTCTCATATTAATATACATGTAGATGTATAATTTTTTTTTTTTTAAAAAATCAAGTCATATGATGTACGTTATGTATCATGGCGCCAGTATGTCTAACGAGTAAAAATTACCATGAAGATATTTACCCACATATATTTATGGCATTGGACAATAATTATATGCCAATGTATTTACAGCTTTCACCATACATCTATTATTATTCATTTTTGTAGCTCACCTGAGCCTTCGGCTCAGGTGAGTTTTGCTGATCAAATTGTATCCCTTGTCTGTTGTCGTTGTAAACTTTTTTTTTTTAAATTTCATCTTCTTTTCCAGAACCACTGGGCCTATTTCAACCAAACTTGGCACTGAGAATCCTTGGGTAAAGGGGATTTAAGTTTGTTCAAATGAAGAGCCAATCCCTCTTTCAAGGGGGAGATAATTAAGAAAAAATTAAAACATTTAAAAATCTCTGTTCAAGAACAACTGGGCCAAAAAAGATGAAACTTGTGTGAAATCTTTCTGACATATTGAAAATTTAAGTTTGTTCAAATCATGACCCTGGGAATAGGGTGGGGCCTCTATGAGCGATCAAAGTTAAACATGAGGACAATAGGAAAAAATCTTTAAAAACCTTCTCAAAAATACAAAAAGTGTGACTAATATTAATTTAGAAGCATCCTCAGTGTGTTCAAATCATGATCTCCGGGTATTGATTGGGTCTACAAAGGGCAACCAAAGTTTTACATGGGTATACATGTATATAGGATAAATCTTTAAAAAATCTTCTCAAGAACAGCAAAGCCAAAACCAGTCATACTTATATGGAAGCATTCATAGGAAATGTAGATTCAAATTATTCAATTCATGAATCCTGGGGTTATGGCAACTATAGGCGATCAAACTTTTACATGGATATAAATAGGAAAAATCTTTAAAAAATACTTCTCAAGAATAGAAAAGGCGTGACTAATCATATTTTATATGGAAGCATTCTCAGATTGTACAAATTAAATTTTGTTCAAATCATGACCGCTGTGGTAGGAAGTGGCCACTTTAGGCGATCAAAGGTTAACATGGATATAAATAGGAAAAAAAGATCTTTAAAAATCTTCCCTCAAGAACAGCAATGTCTATTTGCTATGTTCTATTAATATGTAAGCAAACACAGGTAGTGTATGTTTAGGTTTGCTCAAATCATGTCCCCCGGAGGAAGGGTGGAGTCACAATGGCAATCGAAGTTTAATATAAAAGAAAAACATCTATAGAAAAAAAGAGTTGTACAAATCATCTTGAGAAAAACAGCAAAGCCATGATCAGTAATATTTATACTGAAGCACCCACAGGTACATACGAAAGCCCAGAAGGCTCATTCGAGATTCGAGTTTCGAAATACGAGATTCGAAATTCGAGTTTCGAGATTCAAGATCCAAACTAACCAATCAAAAGGCGGTTTGAGATTCAATTACTTCCCTTTGCTAAGTTTTGACCTTCAAGAAATCGTTGAATATATTCAAACCGAAGAGGTCATTTGATTATATTACAATGCAAGAAAGAGTGTTATATACGAAAGCCCAGAAGGCTCATTCGAGATTCGGGTACATGTACTGTATATTCAAGTTTGTTCAAATCATGACCCCCATGGGTAGGGTATGGCCACAATGGGCAATCAAGTTTTAAATAGGAATACATCTATAGAAAAAATCTTTTTCCCAGGAGTAGTAAAGACATGTTTATTCATAATTATAAGAAAAGCATCCTAAGCTCGTGTAAATTCAAATCATGCCCACGGGGATAGGATGGGGCTACAATGGGTGATCAAAATTTACATAGGAATATATAGGAAAAGGAATATACTGTTGAATAAGAGGTGCCATAGTTACTCAGGTAAGCGTTGTGGCCAAATGGCCACTTGTTTAATCTGCTTGCACTTTGTGTGCTTTAAATAAAAAGTAGAAAGTCAAACACAAATTTACAAAAATTATAGCATTTTTGTCCTCCGAAGATACATAATAAATTTTTGTCACAAATTCTTATTGATAGCATTATTATAATAACTGCAATACATTGGTCTCCATATTAACCTTTGTGTTACTGTACATGTATTCCTTTCTTGTTTTCTTTTTTGGATACTGTATTGAACATTCTGAAACTTTCTATGTGTAACAATAAGGACTAAATAAATTATTTAAAATTACAGCATTACAAATTGAATTGCTCTTTAAATTTCATTGCAACTTACACAAGATCAGCCCATTCGTTTTGAAGATATTTTTCAATGAAGTATTGTTTCGTCGAGGAAGAGATTGTGACCAAAGACAAACCACTTTGTTCGCAGATTGTCTTTGCATCATTCCAAGTCTTGGTGTTCGAATAGAATATCAGTTTTTCTTTCGTGGACGTCAAAAAACCTGTAAAAATGTATAAAGAAAAAGGAGTGAATATTAAACATAACACTGTGTCGAATAAAAGATAAATATATCATTTTATGAGTAAATTCTTGACAGCAACCTTTCCTGCAATTACAATTCTACTTATGCAAAATAGAGTCATAAACGTCATACCATACTCAAAATCATGGATATATTTTAAAAAGTAAGAAAAGCAATTACATGTACTTAAAATGTTGAATAGTTCAAAGTCTGTATTAATAACGATCAATAATGCAAAATCCATCATCTCCCATCATATTGAAGGTAATCTTCTAAATGTTAAACACTACAGAAGGTGAATAGATGCACTTTATAAAAGATATTGACATTGTATTAAAAAGCTTTTCGCAAACTATCAATATTTGTAACATTTTGATAAAAGTTGGTTAATGATGTGTATGGAATATTGCATTTACACCTCTTTTTACAGTAACCATTGTAATTTCCTAAAAACACTGTAGCAAAAATCACTCCAAGGGTTGCAATTCTATTAATTATTTATAAGCAGAGAATTCAGTGCTTAAGCAGATTTTTGTTTGTTTTTTTCCCTCAAAAAATAACATAACCTAAAATTTTAATAAGTTCTTCGTGTTAGTCATTTAAATAATGATTTCCGTTTGTTTATAATGATTGTATTGGATTTATATTACAATACAACATTAGTAGGACACAAACACTAAACCATTATCTTTCGTTTGATAGTAAAAATTTATCTAATTCAAATATACTAACCTGAATGAAGATTTATCAAAATTATGTACAAGAGTAGGAACTTTTTCGTAGAGGTCATAATTATCTCTGCAAGCAAAATAAATATCAGAAAAAAATATTGATAAAATAGTCATAATAAAGATCTTTTCTAATTAATGAAAAAAACTTTTAATGTTTTGGCGTACTGACCCTCTTTTTCGTGAGGAAATTACACCATATTACACCATACACTAAATGACTTTCAATTATTTTTGCATAATAGAAATTACAGAAATATCTGTATGAATAAATAAAAACTTATTTTTAGTACATATTTCCTTACTACATTTTTTGCCTTGCTCAACTGGCTTATACGTTGTTTCAAAATACGTTACTAAAGTTCATTGGACCATCAGGGTCAACAAATACAGTCAAACATAGTATTTAGATTTCTGACCATCAGTACAGTGGATGCAAGCTTGATGTCAGTGTCACAGATGTTACCAGTAGATTCAAAATGTTTTAGGAATGTTGTGTGAAATACAGACAAGTCTAAGAGCAACTTCACAGAAATATTGGCAAGTGATATAATTTTAGGTGAAAACAGAAAAGACTGGCCATCGTAGCATTTAAATGTTCAGCTGTAACTCAAGATTTCATAAAAATCACTCGAAGTACCTTTGATACCTACCTACCCTATTACGCTAACGTTTGAACAAAACAATTGTCTGAGTAACGTTTACCAGCTCTCTGATAGACTTTGGATCGTTCATGATGGTAGCTTGAATAGAAGTGACTTGGTCGGTAACCTTTTCTCTAGTGTTGATAACACACACACTTCTTAACATCATGGAAATTACGAACAAAAAATTTTTTGTTAAATACGTATTACACCCTTGTATCCGTTGATAACCACTAGAGATAGAGTCGCTCGCGTGGCACAGTGCTTTAGAGTCGCGGAATAAGGAGTTAATCTTTACGTCGCGGGTTCGAATCCACTGCAGGACGTGGAGACGGTCCTTCGGATGAGACCGTATAAACCGAGGGGTGCGTATCATAACCGCTACATTTTCAAAATTTTCATTACCGCTACAAAAAAGGATACAGTACCGCTACATTTAAAAGTATTAGCATCTATTTGTGTATACAAAATAGATGCCTTTATTTTACGAGAAAAGTATATTTGCAGGGACCTATATACTAGTATATAGGTCCCTTGTACGTTGGCTTTTAAGAGTCGGGCTTGGATGACACAGCAAGTGTTGTCTATATAAAGGGTCGGGTTTGTTCTTCACGTACATTCCTTTCTGCTGAACCTTTCAAAGGTAAAGACGCACATCAAATGCTTGCAAAGAATACATCTAATTTTTGCTTTGTAATTCTAAAAAATCGTATAATTTTCCATTTATGAATTGTTTTTCAACCATTTTAAAGCTTTTATTACTGTTGATTTTATTAAATAAGGCGGATGATGTTGGATTCAAATTTTTACGAAGCAGACGACGCACACGCGGTTATGCCAAAAAATAATTAATTTACCTTTGTATTGTTATTAAATGATCAAATATTGGTTATCAACATTAATTATTGTCTTTTTGTTTCATACTGCGTCGAAATCGGAAAATGCAAACCCAGAATAGGAGAACAACAATATGGAAACTCGGTCGGACCTTTTTGTGGACACGGTGAGGATGGGCCCCAATATAAGTCGAAGAAAAGAATCGCAAATAGTCTGTGAACCAGTTGGAAAACCAGACATTGAATATATGTATCATCACAATCCAATACATCAGGTACATCCACCACCTTTGAAATACATAAATCAGTTGAATGTGTACATGTATCGTGATTAATCTTTGCCATTGTAGAATGAGACCAAAATATAAGCAATAGACTGCTTATACAGTGTATAGATATTGCTTCAGGGATAGACATTAACTTTCAGATTCACTTGCCCGAAGGGCAAGTGATCTCAAACTTTGACTTGTCCGAATGAAAAACTTGGTTGCCCAAAATTAAGAAAGAACTTGAGAAGAAAATTATTTATTACTGTAAACGTTATGATATAAAAAATGTGACCAAATACACTACTGTCAATTTGACAAGTTGAGCTACGTGAACAAAATTTCGGTGCTGCATTAGTACATAAATGTATACCACTGTACTTGTAAATTCAACCTGTTAACACACACTGCCATGCAGCAATAACCCCCTTTTCCTTTTAATATAATTCATATTTTAAAAAATTATTTTCGGTAGGATCCTTTTGTGAATCGTGATTTTCAGAGATAACTGTGAAGCAAAGCTAAAGGAAGATAGTTGCTACGAAACATACATCTTATCTTGATCACGATACACCGTGTTACACTGTACTTACATTCTGTGCGTGAATAAATAATCTAATTTCCTTATAAGAAGTTTACACAATTTTGTTAGACGTAGAGCGTATTTTACTACGAAAGAAAATAACGAACCCGATTTTTAAATGAACGGTATAATCCAGAAACGCTAGCAAGGAATTCTGAATGCAAAAACATTGTCAGTTGCGGAAATCAAGTGTTCAATTTATTGTTTTATTTATAAATTAATGTAAACTAAATAAATATGTACATCTGTATAAAAAAAAAAATCACTTGCCCGATCGGACAAGTACGTCGACAATTTCACTTGCCCGAACTGATAATTTACTTGTCCCGGGCAATCGGACAACCGTTAATGTCGATCCCTGTGCTTCTAAAAAAAATCATTGCTTAAAGTGTTACCTTTCAAGCTTATGGTGTAGAATTTATTTCTGTTTTTTTTTCTAAAGAAAGGGGTGGGGGGCTTACAAAAAAAAAAAAAAAAAGTTTCAAACAAAAGTACCAGAAAGTCAAGTTGAAAACAAAATATATTTAGATATAACTAACCAGTTAATCCTACAAAATTATGTCACAATAAAATAATCTTTCAAAAATACATTCAAATCATATTATAATTTTGCCATAGAATTCTCTCAAAATAAGGACAAAAGACTTGCAGTTGCCTGGAATTGTTCAAAACTAAGGTCAAAATAATTCAATAGATTTTGCATAGATGCTATTGTTAGGTGCAAATTGTACAGCAGCCTTAACTTTGCCATATATCCAGTTATATTAGTAGAATATTCTGGACCTATTATAGATTCATATTAGCTGGTTTCTATTTGTGAGAGGATTAAATTTAGTTTTTGTATAAATTCAGGTAGTATGTAATTTAACAGATACAATGTTCTGTGTCATTGTAAAAGTAGAACTTGGTGAATCTTTCAAATCCAACTATTAGGCACTACTTACAACAGGGCTCAGACTAAACAATGATTTGTTTGGAGAAAGAATTAATTTATGAAAGGATCAGAACCAAAGAAAGCCCTAAAATTCTTGTTTCATGAAAGAATTTGTAATTGAAGTTAGAGCACTAGATTATATATATATATATATATATATATATATATATATATATATATATATATATATATATATAAAATAATAATCTTTAGTATGTGATGAATTTAAATAAAAAGGAGAATGAAACCACCTATCTTGCCCAGAGAAGAGTATTGTTATATTTATTTAAATGCTCCAGGGCTTTCCTGGATTTCAGTGCTTTGTATTCATGAAATTTTAGACTAATGTTGTGAAAATTTAGGAGGCTCTGATATATAGGTAAGTCATAAGGTCAGTTGCATATCATTAGTTATTACAGATTTGCACAGCTTCCAACTCAATATATATGACTTGAAACAGGGGGATCTTAATTGTGTGGGGTCCAGTAGCAGTAAACCTCTAGAAAGGGCCTTTCTCAAATCTCGTATCTTCAGGTGCTCTCATTGAGGATTCTATTTGCTAGCTATTAAATTGGAAAAAATGATCTTGTAATACAAAAAGGGGGGGGGGGATTTATCATTGTTTAATCACATAATTTATCAATCTCATTGATTAAGTTTGAATGAAAAGGAAAATGCAAAATATTTTTAGATAAACATCCATTTTCTATTACTGGAATTAGGATATTTTTGTTATGATCCTGTAGAGTGCAAATGAAATGTTGGAAATTGCAACATCTTGTACAAGAATGTTTTTGTGATCACTTATTTATGAATACATGTATACCTTAATGACTAATTATTAAATCAAAAAAGTCAATACAGTCAAACCTCATTGTCTTGAACTTATGGGACAAGAAATAACTTTCAATTGAAATATCGGATATTTGAGATGTCAAGGGTAAAATG